AACCGGTAAATCGGGTGTTACACTTGGAAATTTCAAGTACTTAAGAAATCCAGCGAGATTAACAATAATTAAGAATTAAAATTCAATCACAGATTGAAAATGACACATATTATTGTAAAAATATTGATAAAGTTTTTCTGCTTCGTTAGGTATTTATGTAAACTGTACGTGCGATATCGTTGGCGATCACTAACGGGCATGTATAACCTCTTCGCTAAAGTAAAAGGAAAAGAAGCGAAGAGGAACAAAGAGGAAAGATGGAATGCGGCCGCTACCGCCTTTGCCGCCACTGCTGCCGCTATTGCTGCTGTCGCCTTGCTACTTAGACAATGTTAAAAGAAACAACCAGGAAAGAAGTCTCCGACCGACTGCCTCGTACTCTAGTGATGGCTATGAAACACGAGTAGTAGCCATTCAAGATACCGATTGTGAGAATACCAAAGCAAAACGAAGTATAAACACGCGATCCTCTACTTTCAAGGAAGTCATCGTTTCCTCTTCGTCGATTTCTTCCTTCCTACTAATAGACAATACACACCGTCGTGTGCCCGTAAGACATGTTTACGTATTCGTTAGATTTGAAGCGGGTAATATTTTCCATTATCATATATCTTTACCACCTAAGTTTGGGAAGCGACCAACAAACTATGACACACCTCGGTGTTGAACGCATGTATGATTCAGATTTTGGAACAGATTATGTTTTCGTTTAGTCCACTTATTCAGAGCAGCAAACAACTAAATTTTGAATCGTTCCCATATTTTCACGCAAGAAAAATAACATGTGGCCATTAATTATAAATTTGAAATCTATATAGTATTTTCGTTATTACTGTGACAAAGAATGAAATGAACCATTTGAGGTTAGAAAACATTTATTCGAAAATCGAATTTTAAAATATTGTTAAATATGACACTTAAAAATTCGAGCATTATTTCTTATGTTATTTTATCATAAAATAACAGTTTTACAGGTAATTATTTGTTAGTGCAAGTAAAGACAAATGCACATAAGCAACAGAAGGAAAAAGTGGATAAAGAATTTAAAAAAATAAAATAGTAAGCAGAGAAAACGAGGGAAGAATTCGAATACTGGTATACATTTGTTCGACAAAAAATTGTATCAATTTATTTTCAATGCCTTTTTCGATGCTCTTATTGAAACTATAAGCAATTTCGTATTTGCATCTGTATCTCATTATGAACGATCAATGGTCGCGCCTCTTAATCTTTTAAATACTTGTAAGCAGGCCAGGTCAAGTACAAAGCAGAAATTACACTGTAAAGGAAGAGTTACCAAAGAACGATATAAATGAACACGTGAAAACCAGAATAATTTGGCAATTTCTGTGATGTACAACACGTAAGGTTACACAACGACAAATTTCAAAAGGGATAGGAAAATATTGTGAGTCATTCGTACGATTGATCAGCATTTAAATACTAATGATCCCGAAGATACTAAAAATTCGCTTGAAAACCTAACCTTAATGTTTACAGAAAGAAATTGGTTAAAATAGCAAAATATAATAGTATCCTTATTATTTTTTGTTACGATTTTAGAAAAATAATTTCAGATATAAATACTAGAAATGCAAAAAAATTATTATTACACTTTAATGTTTATATTAAATATTAGGTGTAGAACTGGATTCACACAATTGATTCGAAGCTATCGAGTTTCCATCATGATGGTAATCGCAAGTTGCCAGAAAAATAGCAAAAAGTCATCAACAATAATGGAAATTATTTCGATAATTGATCTGTTTACATTCTTTTTAAATAAAACTTCGATTGTACCCAAAAATCGGAAAGAATTCATTTTTATACCTAATAAAAATATTTCAGTTACATGTAAGAAGTGCTGTTCAATATAAATGTTATTAGCGCATAAGATAACGATATTTGTTCGATTCAGTGAAAATATGAACTGAGCGAAGTGTGATATGACACTAATCAATCTATTATATTCCAGAATGTCTGTGATTTCATACGTTTCCATTTGAAATGATTAAGCACAACGACCTAGTAGCAGAAGAAAACTAGACCTCGTGTCTGTCCAAGTTTTCGCTAGACAGTTTCGAAAGGACGCGCTTGACAACGAGTTCTATTCACGCCACTAGGTCACCGAGAAAACTTGCTACGTCGTGTTCGAAATAGATCTCTCGGACACGATTGCAATACGGTTGAGCCATCATGAACCATGCAGTACGAATGAACAACATTGTGTACAGGTTCCAGGTTCGAGTCATATCGTACACCCGATGTTTATACTTTCGTATTTCCACCATCTCTCTTGGACCGCGTTTCATATTACATGCTCCGACTTCTTTTACCAGTTTACAGTTTTTTCCATATGTTTGTATCTCCGTTGAAAAGGAAGGTTACCAACGTAGGAGAGAAGACTAGATGCGCGCGCGGTCCACGCTATGGTTTCCAGACGCTTTATATACACCAGCACCGTACAAGTATACTTGCATCAAACCATATGCCAGTAGCGCGTTTAAAATGTTACAGATGTCATCAAACTTCGAAAACGATACCCTTTTTCCAAGCTTATTCTTGACAAACATTAGAAACGTAAAATTGAATAAACCATCTTGAATATTTTTTCTAGTATGTCAATACTAGTTTAGTTACCATACGAGAAATCATTTTTTCCACAGAGTTGTATTCTAACGTTTCTTCGTTTATATCTTTATGTATATACGTAATGTTTAAAATGCATTTAATTTTTGCAGCTACATAATAAAAATATCGTATTAAATCAATCTGAGAAAAAATAATAAAGTAAATTTCTTTGCATGAGCAGGACTATATCCCCGTAGGAATGCGAGGTCCAAGAGCTTTCGTAAAACCGGTTCTCGTCGTAAACGTCATTTGACACATTTCCTGTGAAACAGTATAGACAACTCGAATGCACATATACTTTAAGCAATGTTATTTTCAAACAGTTGAAAAATTACAGATAAACTTTCACCTGATTTTTCATATACAAGTTCAAAATGCTACATATATTTTACTTATTATAGCTGTTAAAGTAACGCGGTTAACTGTGAAAAATAACTTTTTCCCTACCTAAGTTACGTACTGTGAAGTGGTTACCTGTTATTTGCGAACACAAACAGAAGCTACTATGACAAATACGGCTTAAGTATAGAGTAGCTCGATTAGAAGAGTTTGTCTTTTATAGTAGAAAGGACTATACCCATTAAAAGTAACTAGCATTCTGGAAAGGAAAAGTTACTTTTAGCGAACACCAATCATCGTTTGGTACAAATACCGAGAATCCCAATATAATTGTAGTACAAAATTGGATGTGTACGTGTTATAACCGTAAGTATATAAAATTTCTTTTCCCACAGTAACAACATGCTCTTTATATTTGCCCTTCCGAAATCTAAAACGCTTGGATTAAGTATAATTTTAGTACTGAGTCACAATGGAAAAATCGTTTCATAAATTCTTGTGTATTAGATCATTAAAATCGATTCATTTGAGGTCATGCTCATGAGTAATGATTAGAACATGTAGGAATACTAAAACAAATTCCACGCGCTGCAACAAACACCTTTTTGAATTTATTGTAAAACGAGTATTTTGTAAATACTCATTAAACAAATATTATCATTTAACAATTTACTTTTAGTTCACTTTTTGTTTCTATAATTTACCATATCTGTATTTTTATTATTTAAAGAATCAAAAGTATAATGCATTATTTAATAATACTGTTACAATAACTTAAAAATTTTTAAAGCATATTGTTTTTTAATCTTTGTATAAAAATCAAACTGACCGAAAAGATAGAAACGTGCTCACATGAACTGCGACAAGATCATGAAACAGTGTTTAACAAGATACAGTAGAGTTAATAATGTCATTGGTAAACAAAGGGTACGAATGATGACTTAGAGATATATCGAACGTTTTGCGAATTTTTTACAACCAACACCGCCTACATCACAAACATCCTTTAACTTTCCAATTATTTACTCCATTTACCTCAATCCGAACGTATTTGATTAATTTCCAAATTAACCCATCAAATTAATCCAAATATTTAAAATGCATAATAAACGATCGAATTTCTTGGTTTCATATTAAATGTTAAGTATTAAACTTTTTCTTCAAGAAGAAGACTTGAAGCACGGTAAACGTTACACGAGTCTGCACACTGAATGTGAGCATGTACGTACGCACATATAGGAACTGTCCAAAAATAGACAGTGAAAAAATGTTCTTCGAAACAGTAGACATGAGTATAGTAAATTATTAAAAAAGAAAACACGTATATGATATCAAAAAGAATGTGTGAAATGTAAGTTTAAAACATGTATCACAAAAATTTCTCCAACACTGTTCTCAAACACTTGGTGCACTTCATTTTCACTGACAATCCCCCCTCCCTTTCATTTCATATCTTGTTTCCTCAGTGGCATGCGATGATTCTGGGCCGGGCTGGCCGAGCAAGCTAAATCGAATTGTGTCAAGATTAGTGCAATCGATCGATTATGTGAATCGTAAGTCACATGAAAATGTAAGTTATTCTGGTCGACTTACGTTGAATAAGTTAATTTCCTGTTCTCCTCACTCCGACGTAGAAAATTGGAAAAATAAAGTGAACGGCAGGCTCGAAGAGACACGAAGAGTAGATCGGGACGCGTAACACGTGACACACGATCGAGATACAATGTTTGCGAGCAGTCCGTTGCCGATTATGGCAAACTACGAGGCAACAAGAACCGGTCTCTCGTGGCACAAGCAACGTTCCTGGACGTTGCGCATTTTTTTCGCTTGCGCGACTGCCGTAGCGAAATCCGTAAGATCTCGGAAAATATGGCGAAAGTTTCGCGGGCATGTAGAACATGCTTAGAGACCGAACTCGAAGTATGAATCGCTGTGAGCGTTAATCATGCAAATTAAAGTAAGGCGTGTCGCAAGTGAAATGATGCATTGCCGAAGGTACAGGAGATATTAGTGGATTAATGGTTGCTTACCTTCGTCTAGTAGGCGCTCTACATGTATGAAGACATTAGGGAAAGCAGCTAACTGCTTTCGGTCTTTTAGTAACTGTGACAGGTAGTCCGCTATACTCTGCGTCGTCGTGTTAGTATTATCACACATCGCTATTACTTGATTACTCCTATGGCGGTCACGCGAAAATAGAAAAAGATATACAAAAAAAAAGGTATTGCAAAGAGGGAGACGGAAAGAAAAAGTGAACGTTAAACGTAAACGAGTAAGAGACAGACGACGTTGCGATTAAGATCCAAAATAACAGCAGTCCCTTCACGTTTAGTTTTGCACAACGTTAACGCAGATTTTCCCGTTATTCACTATTATATCACTTTATTTTCTTATTTTTCTCGCACAATAATTTCTCCGTAATTAAATACAACTCGCTGTTCGTACGTCGCGCCTCCTCACTCGTGGTTTCTCTGGCGCGCTCCTCGCATACGTCGCCACGATTGCGTTACGTTTTTAGAAATAGCGGAGTTGGTATACTATGTATAAGGAGTAGAAGGAGGAGAAGGAGAAGGAAAAGGAGGATAAGGAGGAGGGGGAGAGAAGTATGTAGGTGCGACAGAAACAGAGAGGACTGCGAGAGCGAGTCTGAGAGGGAGCGAGAGCGAGCGAAACTGAGAAAAGGAGAGGAGAGTCGAAGGTGACAAGGGGGAAGAAGAGAAGGAGATGGCGAAGGAAAGGAGAGGAAAAGAGAAGGGGGAAAGAGAAAGAAAGAAAGAAAGAGGAGGGAAGGAGAAAAAGGGAAAAGAGATAGAGGAAGGGAAAGGCAGGAGAATTAGACACTGGGAGAGAGAGAAAAAGAGAGAGAGAGAAAGAGAGAGAGAGAGAGAGAGGGGAGAATACAGCCTCTCTCACGAGTTGGACTCTGTTAAGGTTAAAAAGTTAGATCGTAGATCGCGAAATTAAAAACAAACACGCACTACGGGATTCTCAGCTCTACTGCACCACCCGTGCATGTGCCGCGTCGAACTACCCGTAGATTCCTGAGTTTGGACGCATGCGCAGCATTTGTTTTGCGCATGCGTCTCGCGCGCATTGGTTCTTACGTACCACTATCGGCGCGCTTCTACCGCCCACTACCATATACGGCCTCTGCGTACGCGCGAGTACTGAGGTACGCGCCATACCATCGTCGCATACAAGTTGGATAATTCAGGGACGCAATTATCTAGTAGTGTGCCCTGCATCTTACAATCTTCGTGATTCATGTGTCGGCAGCCGTTTCGTAAAACTCTTTTTGTTAACGGAACATCACGAAACATGTTTACTGGCATGTCTTACCGTTGTGTGAGAAACCACCAGATTCAAGGACGTTGGTCTATATGTGACCAATGTATTGCCTAGGTTTTATCCGATTAATTGTATGCTCGTCACGGACAAACGCATTTTCGTAGTATGAAACAACTTTGTCTGTTGGAATTGTTTCTTTCTTTTTCCAATTTATCCCCAACCTGTCATTTGCGTATCGTTCTCGTGAATTTAATAAAATTTGCTGCTCTTCTAAGAAAATATACGTAATGCTTTAAATAAACTGCAAGCTAAATTTAGATTTCAACTTTAACTCGATATTTTAAAGTCAGCTGAAACTTGTTTCGTACGTAAACTTTATGGACGAAAAAGCTGCATAAAATAGTTTCGATATAACTGCTAACGCATTTATGATAAGTACGTTATAATAGCATGATAACTTCTAATATACACTTGAAAACGTTTGCTTAAAAACAAAATAACAAATATTGATTATATAATGAATCATGGTGCACCGTCAATACGAATATCCAAGCATATAAAACTATTTAACATATAAAAAAAAATGACACATTCTTTTATCAATTCGAATAAACTAACGATTCTAACCTTACAGTATCTTACAAAACACTGGAAAAATGAAGGATTGACTACAAAAGATGTTTTCGTATTTGTTATGAAACTTATTAAAGTATATCATTTTTTATACTGCTTCGACTGATTGAAAGTGAAAGTTACATTAACGTAAGTAAACTAAAACGTAACATTTTAAATGTTTATGCATCTCTCACTTACATCTTATTGTATCTAAACAAAATGGTTGTTGTTATTTATATAAAACGTTAAATTTAAATTAGCTAAGTAAAAGATGACATTCTTCGAAACAACTTTTCGTAAATGATTATAATTCAAAGTCGGGACTTAGAAATATACGAACAGCAGTTATACAAAAATTCTCACAAATGTAATTACCAAAGGTCGGTAATTATTTAAAGAGATATTAATGCGTTGTATGTTAATTTTTAATCGAACGCGTTATAACACAAACATATGATTTATTTCAAACATATGCAAA